ATGGCCCGACATTACAACTCCAAATTCAGGTCCCCACAATTCGTTGTAGGTGACCTAGTACTTAGGAAAATTTTCAACCATACTAAAGAGCCACGCGCTGGGAAGCTAGGAACCAATTGGGAAGGTCCCTATCGGATCATCCATGTGGTACGACCGGGCGTTTACAGGCTTATGAAGGTGCGAACCGGGGTACCTGTCCGATCATGGAACGCCATGAATCTCAAGAAATACTATCATTAGGTACCTAAATCCCTTGAACTACGTTAGGCTTGATCCCTTGACTGGGTACGTAGGCAACTCCGTTATTAGTGCAGCCCCAATTTGATTTCAACATTCTTCTCACTGTAGCCAAAGGGGGCATGTGTTTAAAACACATAGCCCAAACAGCAACTGTATGATTATTACAACATGATGTATTCTATAAAAGTTATCAATGAAACGACTATATTTAAATATTTTGAATTTCCTACAAACTAATCCAGGTCCCTATGAACCTGAACCTAAGGTCTTAAAAATCCTTCAAATGTATTCAGGTCCCTACGAACCTGAACCTAAGGTCTTAAAATCATTCAACCAAATTCAGGTCCTACGAACCTGAACCTAAGGTCTTAAAATCCTTCAAACAAATTCAAGTCCCAACGAACCTGGACCTAAGGTCTTAAAATCCTTCAAACAAATTCAGGTCCCTATGAAACTGAACCTACGGTCTTAAAATCCCTCAAACAAATTCAGGTCCCTACGAACCTGAACCTAAGGTCTTAAAATCCTTCAAACAAATTCAGGTCCCTACGAACCTGGACCTAAGGTCTTAAAATACTTCAAACAAATTCAGGTCCTTACGAACCTGGACCTAAGGTCTTAAAATCCTTAACCAATTCGGAAGACTCAAAAAAATAAAATAAAATTTGCAAACGAATTCAGGATCACATGAACCTTCTCTTAATGGCCTTAAAACTCTTCAAAAAGATTTAAGTCCCTAAAGACCCTGACTTAGTCTCGATATTTCGGGAACTTCTTCCTGATATCCTCGCAGCCAAATATACTCGAAATCATTGTGACCTCTAAGGTCACAAGATCTGTTATTAACAGAATCCGCGATCTGATTCCAGAAAAATCACTAGATCTCATCTTTAAAAATCACAATACGTAACTCGATTTTACACTCCAAAGAAAAGCAAATCAAACTAAGCTGAGTAACTTAAAATAAAGATTAAACTGAGAGAAGAAACAAGGTTTAAAAGCCTCCTCAGGCCATTAGCGATTCAAAAGATCCTAACACAAGCAAAGGTTTAAAAGCCTCCTCAGGCTATAAGTCTTAAAAAAAAAACAAAGCCCGTAGGGCAGAAGTCCTAAAAACATAATAAGATGATTAAAAAGAGCCTTAGCTCTCAGCCTTCTTGTCCCTTGTCACCAGAATCCTTCTCGACTGCTTCACTGTCCTTAGCCTGAGCACCTTCATCCGTCTCCTTATCGTTACCTCCCAGGATCGCTTCGACTGGGGTTAAATTAGGATCCACCAAACCTAAATTAGAGCCATACTTTCCAGAAAAGGACGAATTAAACATGTTAATCCCAAAAGTACCTGAGCTCTCTGAGAACTGAGGAAGGGGGAGCTTGCTAACTGAGAATTCAGAGACCTGCGCCTTCTCTTATGCAGAAGTCGCTTCTGGTATCAGAGCCATCAAACGGTTGTACTCCTCCTCAGTACTCTGAATCTCGTTTGTCAGCATATCCTTTAGAAGCTCAGTGTTAGCTTGAAGCTCTTGAGCATAGATCTAAAGATTGACCTCGTCTTTCTTCTTGGAGAACTTCTCCTTAATGGAAATAAAGATCTTGTTGTAAGCATCAATTACCTCCTTTTTCCCTCTTCTAAGGGCGAATTTGACCTCAGCTTCCTTATTCTTCTGACTGACTTGAGACGAGACGATCAGCTCTTGAACTTGCTGCTCAGCAACTCTCCGAGCATTATCTAACTCGGAAATCCTCCTGCTTTTCACCTTAACATCAATCTCTAGGCTCTCAATCTTCCCTTGTTGAGTATCAGACTTCAAGCCAAGTCTCTCAACTTCGGATTGAAGTACCGAAGCCTGAGCTCTGGCTTGATCGAGCTCCATCTTGGTGGCTTTGACCATCTCGGTAACCTGAGCTAATTCTCCAGCATTGCGGGCATTGCTCACTGTCTCCTAAAACTTCAGTTGAGCTCTGTTAACAGCTCCAGCCAACTGCAAAGAGATGAAAACAGCAAAATAAATATCTTTCTAAGGAAAGCAACAAAAGCTAAAATCCCATACCTGACCCATGTAATGGGCAATCTCGATGAAATCTTCTATGTTAGTCAAATTGTTGATCGGGGGAAAGGAACATCTTGTTCTCTTCATGTGCCTCATCAACGTCGCCAAGCCCCAGGGGTCATCGAGAATCGATCCAGGCTTCGAATGAGCAAAATTCCAGCCGACGGTTCCTCCTCTAGAAGACGAGGAAGAAGACCTGGAAGGTCTATCACTCTGACATTCCTTGACCTTTTGTTCCTAGGGAGATCAGTCTCGGAAGGTTCCTTGACCATCTGGGGATCGGTTTCCGTAACCTGTACCTCGGAACGAGCGACTACGTCCTGAGCTCCCTGTGCTTCAACAGGGTTGACATCCTGAGCAGGAGCAGAAGCTCCGTCATCAAGAACCTCCTTCACGGAGCTGAGGAAAGATCCTCCCTAATTCTTGTCGCTCACTCGTGAGGTGCTGGCTGCTTTTACCGGTCTACCCCTAGAACGGAATGACGGCTGAAGAGGCATCTTGGCTGATTGGGTCTTTTCGGTTTCAGAAGTGCTAGCTCCCGTTGAAATTGATACCACCGAGTTACCTTCGAAAACTGAATTAACAAATTTATTTAGTATTCGTACATCTTAAAATAAGCTTACATATATAAAAGAAATTGAAGTAAGGACATTACCTTCTAAATCTGCGATTGGGACATGATTTAGGAAGGAAGCGTTATACCGATCTGGAAATCTAGCCGATCCTATTCGAGAAGTGGTGTAAGACGCCTAGGTACATGGAGTTTGCTGCAACTTCCGAAAGAGAGCTCTGGTAAGTTTCCCGGGGAGTATAGCAGGATCCTCAATATCTGCAAGCAAAACCAGACATCCATCAGGTCACAACAAATAAAAGTAAACAAATGTACTCCTAGAAATCCTAACCGGATGCATCAGACCAAGAAGTCATGAGGGCACGACCCACAGGAACCGTTGAAGGATCAATTTTAACATAGAAATACTTCTTCCGCCAGTCGTCATCACTTCTAGGAAACTTGAAAATACCCAACCTGGGACGACAAGGAAGATAATAGGTCCCGCTGCCACCTTCTTTGGAAGCACTCTCCTTTATCAAAAAGAGGCTCATTAGGTCACTAAGCCCGACAGCGACTCCCTCCTCTTTGGATCTAGTGATGAAACCGTTTATCACTCGAATAACCTAGGGACAGAGTTGGGAGAGAGCTAGTTGGTAATGATCGAGAAGATCTAACAGGAGGTCAGGGAGAGGAAACCTAAGGTGGCTCTTGGAAATATAGTTCTCGTGAACGCAGAACCAACCCTCCGGAGCCGTCTCGGTGGTTTCCTCGGGTTTACAGGCCCTGGCCAACTCCTTTTGACCTTGGGCTTGGACCATGAGGTTTACAACCTCTTGGCTCTATAGTACGGAGGGTGGATGAGATCCGGAGGGAACACTCCCGCTGGAGCTCTCGGTCTTTTTTGCTCATTTGAAAACTCTCTAGGCTATTGACTCCTTAGCCCTCTTCTTCCTTTCAGACTTCTTCATCGTTTCACCCACTTCTTGTTTCACCTTCATAAGCCGAACGCCAGAAGTAGAGATTCCAGTTTCTCCGGAACCTTCTTTTGGTCGGGTCATGGCAAGGAACGATGAAAGAAATCAAAAAAGATAGGAAAGAAAAAGAAAGATCGAACCAACGAAATAAAATATTGGAGAAACAATTTCGAAAGAAACTATTCGATAGGAAGCATAATGAAAAATAAAAGCAAAAGAAAGTAAAATAAAGAAACCAGAGGAAGTTACCTGGGAAACCTAATCGAGACGTGGAGAAGGTGGAGAAAGTTTCAGTTAATGTGTGAAGCTTTATATCCCGCCAAGTCTCAAAAATCGGGAGATAACTATTTCAAATCCGTTTCATCTGAGCCATTGATCTCGCTAAGTATAATCACAGCGTCGGATTAGGTGAGGAATATCCTCGATAAAGATAACGGGTAATCATTATCTCAGCAAAAAAGTTAAGGTTCGGCGGCTAGGTTTAGCTTCCGAGATAAAGAATCTTATCTTGAAAGCTGGGGGCAACTGTTGGGCCCGAATATGGCCCGCTAGCTAAAAAGCTAATGGGTTTAAATATTGAGAGCTGGTGATGGGCCGCGATAGGCCCACCGCGAGTTATAACTTTAAGAAATGAAGAATGAAGCTAAAGCCGGAGGCTACCTGCTGAAATACTAATGAAAGAGGTCACGGAAAAGAGGTCCGTCTCGTTTCGCAGAGACCTAGAAGAAGCAGCTCGGGATATGAGGAGAGAAGCATAAGATTCGGTCAAAGTCAAATTGTTGCGAATCCCCCAATTTACGGAAGTAATCTCGGAGATCAATTAGGAACAACCAAACGTGGCCTGGGGCTATTTAAAGAGAAGCAAGATGAAGGGGAAGGGGATCATTCATTCAATCATTTTCCACATATTTAAGTTCACAAACATTCTCGTAATTCTTTGTAATCATCAGAATCCTCTTTGTAATTCTTTACCAAAAACATTCAATACAATCATATTCGTTCTACAAGTTCTAAACGGGATTCAGCCCACGTTATCTTATTTCCAATCTTAGCCTGAACTAAAATTAGGAGGTGAGTTTTATCCCTCACAATACACATTGTTTTATTTATAATAGTGAGAGTGAGATCAAATGCGTGGCAACTTACGCTCATGCATATGCATTCCGGGATCAGTGTGAAATTATGAGGGGTCGTGGACAGGTGATTGTGGTGCTTAAGATATGGAAGATCTGTAACTGATTCAGTAAGTATATTATATTATGTATTTATTTTGAAGTATGTTTAGTTTTAGTTGTGTTAGTTGAGTAAAATGTTTCCTAATTTCATTTATACAGATGTGTTTGATCCTAATGAATTATGGCTAGAGACCGAGGGTGGATTATCGGACTTCAGATTCAATCCGTGTTTAGAGGAGGTTGAGGAGTTTAGAAAATCGGTCAATAGCAGTGACCCTTATGTTCGGAGGCACGGGGCTATAGGGCCTTTGTAAGGTTTTATCTTATGTATTGAACTTGCTAATGTGTCTTGAACTTGGTATGTGATGTTGAATGCTCTTATCTTAGAACACATTCTACTGCTAATGTGTGTTAAAACTGGGTTTCTTAACTTTTGTAATTATCCAACTGCTAAAATCTCGGAAAACTTGATAATGACATGAAGTTCTAAATAGGAGAAATTGTTTAAATGCTGTCTTATATTGTATATAATTCAACGTTATTGATATTGACATATATATATATATATATATATATATATATATATATATATTTAATTTTATTTATTATTGACACTTCCAACTCATATGATTTTATTAACATTTGTATATTTTGCTCTAACAAAAATTTTAATAAATCACAAATTTTTTAATGTGAGATTTTTCCAATACAAATTTCAAAATTAAAATATTAAAATCTTAATAAATTTTCACTTTAAATTTTGAAATTAACATATTTATATATTTTATATAATATATATAGTATATAATTTAAATGATATATATATATATATATATATAATATCAATATCTAATGAGACTTCTTATTTATACGATTTACAATCATTTCTATCTTACTTGAACGAAAAAAGTTAAACCATTGATAAAAAAATTTCAATTTGGGAGGTTTATCATTTTTAGTAATTTATAGTCGTTTCAAAAATTTCTTAATATAACATATAAGAAAAAATCTAATCTTTTATTATATGCTTACTATGATTGTTCAATTATTTTTAATAATATAAAGTTAAACAAAAAAAGAGAAATGATACAAAAATTGTTATCAAATATGTATTACTCAGAATCATTAATTGTCATATATATGTTAATTATATTAGATAATAACGTAGCTTTTATTTAATAAAAGAAAGAATATTGTTTTGCACACTAATAGCTACTTTGATAGTTAGTTTAATAAAAAGTATAATATATAATTACTCGGTGATAACCTTCGTCCTGCGCGGAGTTAGTGACTAACATAGATTTTTATTTTAATCTTATGATATTATAAATTTTGAAGTCATAAGCAAAAATATTAAATCTAATGGTATATATCGAACGAAAGTGTGAATGTATATATAATGTACGATTAATTGTTTATAAAAAAGCTTGTGCAATTGGTTATGAGTTAATTAGATTTATTTTATGTTAAAATATATAATAGTATACAACAATTGAACCCATTTACTATGTATTTAATTGAAAACAAAACATATGAAATAGATTTATTGTTTTCATAATCAAAATTATGATTATAATACTAAAAGAAACATAAGTAGTAGAAAAATAAAATACGCAAGAAAAAAATTATAAGTATAAAATGATAAAATCAAAATACCACGAAAAAGATCTTTAGAACTTTTGATTTACAATCCTATATAGAGAAATAAGTAAGAATTAGTTTACCAAACTAAACATAGCTGGTAACCTGCGTCCTGCGCGGAGTTAGTGACTAACATAGATTTTTATTTTAGTCTTATGATATTAGAAATTTTGAAGTCATAAGCAAAAATATTAAATCTAATGGTATATATCGAACGAATGTATATATAATGTACGATTAACTGTTTATAAAAAAAGCTTGTGCAATTGGTTATGAGTTAATTAGATTTATTTTATGTTAAAATATATAATAGTATGCAATAATTGAACCCATTTATTATGTATTTAATTGAAAACAAAACATATGAAATAGATTTATTGTTTTCATAATCAAAATTATGATTATAATATTAAAAGAAACATAAGTAGTAGAAAAATAAAATACGCAAGAAACAAATTATAAGTATAAAATGATAAAACCAAAATACCACGAAAAAGATCTTTAGAACTCCTGATTTACAATCCTATATAGAGAAATAAGTAAGAATTAGTTTACCAAACTAAACATAGATGGTAACCAAATGCATTAAACGAATTGATATACGTCTGTTTGAAATCATCAATTTCTGGAACATCTTTGGATTCAAAAATAATTTTGAAAAACTAATCAATGTTAATCACGTGCTTCGATCAACCTTAAGATGATAAAAAAATAGGTGAGAAAAATATTAAGGGGATATCATCTCCAAGAAATTTTTATTATAAAGTAGTACAATAAGTTGCCGTCTCTCTAATTAATTTGTGAAAATTGTAACACACAGATTACAATATTTTCAGTTGAAGAATTCCATAAGTCTTGGAAAACATGAGCAAATGCTCCATAAGCGACACGCTTACTGACGATGTTACTGTAATCAGTGAGAAAAATTAATTTAGAAAATATGAAAGTAAATAAATGCGTAACTTTTAATTTAAAATGTGAAATATTTACTCCATGTTTACTACAAAGAACTGGATCTTCTGGTCAATGAAACCATTGTTCCAATCGGTAGGTTCTGTCATATATTCTTCAAGAAATCCTACTTCTACTACAGTTCTATCAATATTTGTTTCATATTTTCAGACAAAAAAAACAACTTTAGACAGTCACAATCAAAATAATACCAGATTTACGGACTCTTGCTAACTTGACTATAAAATTAAAATCGGACACAAAGTTAAAAGCAGCCATGAGTTTGCTTGTGAGATTTTTTATATAAACCATTTGAGTTGAGGAGAAGGGGGACGTGAGTTTGATTTGATTATAAAGAACACATATTTATACTAAGAAGTGAAACCTGTGTAGGGCAATAGTAAATATCTCCAAATCGTCGTAATTAAAGATAATATTACCTATTTAATTTCACATAACTTGCGCTATAGTTATATATACTAAGACTTACCTAAAATTGATAGATACCATAATGAAAGTTCCTTTTATATGACCAAAATAAAGTTTTAAAAAAATTCAGTCAATTTTTAATTGACTACAAAATTTTGAATCCATAATATAACTTCCTTATATAAAACAATCATATTTTTGTTAAAATAGTGTAACCATAACCGACTCCCTAATAATATACATAAATTAAACCAATTAATGGCACCACATATTATAAGGGTTTAATCCATAGATTTAGTTACCCTAACAAAAATATCAAACTTATTAGAAGTTTCCTTTTAATAAAGTATGGAGGACAATGTTACATTGAGGAATAAGATTGTGATACGGCCACTAACATTTGCATCACACGATTCCCCGCCTGAGGCTGGTGAGGAACAAGTCATTGGCGCCTTAACCGACATGGAGTACAATAGGACATATGGCTGGCACAAGTACTTTGAACCATATGCATATGAGATGTGATAATCACTGTCTACGATGTGGAGAACCAGAAGAATCAGTTGTCCATGCGATATTTCAGTGTCCACCTGCGTAGCAAGTCTGGGCCCTATCATCTACTTCTACCAACTCTGCTTTGTTTCCACTTCAGAGTACGTATGCGAATATGGACTATCTCTTCTGGAGGAAAAATGCTATAATAGAACCGGAATTGGACGGGGATCCTTATCCCTGGCTAATATGGTATATTTGGAAAGCCCGGAACGATAAGCTATTCAGAGAGATTGATAGAGATCCTTTAGAGCTAGCCCGTTATGAAGAGAGTGAATGTCAAGCCTGGGTTTAAAGCAAATGAACAGGTTATTTTGTCATCTTAAGAAACCATAGATGCTGAAAACCATGCCATAAGTCTGGGGAATATTTATCTGGTTGACGGTTCTTGGACCTCTATAGATCAGTTCAGTGGATGTGGTTGGTTTGGACTGATAGCAGGGGAATTAGTCAGTTGATGGGTATGCGTAACTTCAATAGAGTGGAATCTGCTCTGCATTCTGAGCTGAAAGCACTGCGGTGGGCAATGGAGAACATACTTCAACATTCGCCATGTCAGAGCTTTGGGACGGATTGCAAGGAGTGATAGCGATGCTTAGGAATCCTCAGTCAAGTTTCTCAACAGAATTAGAAAAGATATCGACGCTGCGGATCTGCTACCCTGAGTTCAAGATTTCCTATGTTCCCACGATGCAAAATGTTGTTGCTAATTCTTTAGCTAAATCGGCTCGAGTTTTTTATCAAGATCTTTTGTACGTTGGTTGTTCTATTCTGGTATGGCTCGCAAGACCACCTCAAGATTGAGTAATAGATTAACCTTTTGATGTAAAAAAAATGATATAATTTGTCCTTGAAAACCACGTTTTATTTAATGCCACCCAGATTTGTAGGTTGTTAATTACGTTAACATGATAAATTTGGTAGGTTATATGAATTCTATATATGTCCAATTACAGTTTTGTTATGGTTTTTTGTTTTTATTATTGGATACTTGATATGGAGACGATATATATATATATATATATATATATATATATATATATATATATTGTCTAACTATATATAGAATTTCTCGATGGTCACTTTTTATATATAGTTAGGCATTTTATATCAGAACCTATGTTATAGTTTGATTTAAATTCTTGCTCTATAAAAAACTGCAAACAATTTTATAACAAACTCATAAATATAAGAAATTCATATACTATATGTTTTTTTTTTATAACATTCATATACTATATGTTATAACCCCAACTAACAAAAGAACGTGATATATATATATATATATATATATATATTATAATGTGTAAAAACCAAGACAAATTGGGTGTATATATGATAGAATTCTCTAACATTGTGAATATACTACATAGGATTGGGACTTACACATAATTTTTATTTTTTGTCTAGGGGTCAACGTTTTTTTTTTTTTTTTTTTGACAACGAATTGCTGATCTATTACTCAAGCTTGAGGTGGTCTGGGAATCCAGACCGGAATAGAACAACCAACATACATAAGATCATGATAAAAGGATCGGGCAGTCTTAGCTAGATGATCAGACACAGCATTTAGAGATCTAGGTACATAGAGATTTTGAATTCTGGGAAACAAATCCTCAACGTTTAATATACAAATCTCTTGACGTATATATAGGAAAATAATTCCTCTGCAGATCACAAAATCGTTCCTCTTCGAGATAGGAAAATAATAAATTCATAGCATTAAACGTTTATGTTTTAATTTGTTTGGTTAGTCAATAACAAAGAAGCTTATAATATATAAGTCAAGTTATAATATATTGATCAATGGTAATTTTTGTAACTAATCTAGCTAACAAAAGGTTTTTCAATGTAAGATGTGAGAAGCTTGTGGAGCTGCTACATAGAAAATGACAATCTAGAAAATAACTCATGAGCTAAAGGTTATTTCTCTATAATTTTCCTCAAATAATAATAAGGGGATATGGACCAACGTATTTTTACAAGGATTTTGAGAGTTATCCTGGTGATGATACGGAGTTACGAAAACATGTTGTAATGCTCTAGAATTAATATAGGAGATTACACATGAAATTATATTTGTAATATACATATAGGAGATCATCAATATCATAAGTTATTCATTATGTCTCGGGTTCAACTCGTAAGGATCATAATAATAAGTCATAATTGTTCTCATAATTATACGATATATGCATATGGACTATGAAGTGGCAATATGTTTTATAGTATAAGATATGATTATATTTTGATCCAGATAATTAGTGTTATTCATAAATAATGGGCTTCAACGATATCTAGTAGTGAAAATTTGCTGCAAATTTAATTATTAGGTTAAAGAATAAGTGGCAATCTATTGTAATTTTTGAGGAAAATTAAAGAACAAATTATATTTGTATTCATGTTTTAATAGTTTAGACTAGATAATAACCCGCGCCTAACGCGGAATAAGATTATTAATTTCATTATTTTTTGGATAATAAAATAGTATGTCTGTTTAATCGATCCTATTTTACACGGAATCACCGATGGAGATGCGTTTTTTATTTCCGAAGCGGAATCAGAACCGGAAACGTTCGAAATGGTATGAAACCTTCACAAAATCGCGTTTCCAGAATTGTGAGGTTTGGAAGCGTAACGGAAACACACGGTTCATAGGTGAAAGCGTGAAAGTCATTGATCGAAACTTGACGGTAGCTATATTGTTGATGTGCACATAAGATGGAACATTATTCTTATAGACTTGAAAATTTTAATTGATTTATACCCCAGTTTAACTTACTTTATTTTTAAAATCTTAATTTATAAATAACAATAAATCTGAACACTAAAAACGTAAATCTATTTCAGCTCCAGGTTTCTGAGTAATAATCTAATTGTAATATGTTTTTTCACTTATTCGTTTTGCTTCATGTTGTTTGTATTTTCAATTGGTGTGTATGAAATAGTCAACTCTCGTATTTTACACATATGATTTACACATGTTATATTATATTTATTCTTTGTAGTTATACATATTTTTATTTGAGTTATAATATATGAAGTATGTACTGAATTTTTCTATTTAATATATTTTATTCAATATATTAACTTTGCTGTTATATATTAAATTTACATTTTCAATACGTGTCCGCTTCCTAAATATTTTCTAAAATTGTGTTTCCGCGTTTTCTACTGCTTCCGCGTATCCACTTCGTTTCCATGTAACATAGGTTTAATCTAGATATCGGTTTGGTTTAAGATTAGTTTTTTTTTGTTTTTAATTTATTAAAATATATTTACTATTCTTAATCAATATTTATTCTGTTTAATTTGTTAAAATGCTTGAGGTTTTTAGATTTTTAATGATAACCAAAAACTATTTTTTTTTTTTTTTGGTTTTATGTTACATGAATTTTAAACAGTCATGAAGTCAAACCAACGGTTTCATATTATAATTTCCAAAGACATAAAAAGAAAATAAAATAAAATCAAATCTAGATAATAACTGCAAAAATAAAAAAAATATTTAAAAATTCATTTCATTACAATTGGTCGATGGTAAATGAAAACATTAAAAATAATATTTTAGCTTCCAAGAGAATTAAAATCATCACTTGCAATAAATATTTAGTTATATAGGTGCTCACGTCAATGTGCACATGTATATAGAGTTTTGGTTTTACTCATCATTCTTTTTTATTCAAACAAAAAATGTGGATATCCATAACTCTACGAAGAAAAACAAATACTAATATGCAATATCCGTAAAAAACGAAGCAAATCACAAATACTAATATTTTAAAAATGAATATTTGATCCGATCCGTTATATGTTTATATATATATACATATACATATATTTAATGAAATATATATAAGTTATATAAATAATATATTCTATAAAAGTTTTACAATATTTGAGTTTAATTAAATTAGGTATTAATTTTCAAAGAATTAAATAATTTTTTTTTATTTTGTAACAAATTTTTCTTATTTTAGATCTTTTTATTTATGTTTATGGATCAAAACCGTTTAAATACAATTTCCGAGGACATTATATATTTGTCGGCTACGAATCGAATCGAATTGAATTGGATAATTGATTATTCAGACAAAACACATTGGATCACGAATACCTCCAAAATCTCGGATATCCGATTCGTGCCCACTCTTACATGTATGTGTATGTAAAAATATATTGGTTGATAAATATATAAAGATACAGTAATTAACACTAAAAGAAATTTTTGTTCAAAATAAAACATGAAATCTAATATTCTATCAAAATAAATTAAGTCCTAATAAAATAAACCTAGAAAATATTGAATTTTTTTTGTAAATTTATCTTTCTATGTAGAATTTTAATATTGTAGAATTTTAATATAATCTGTAGAACCATATATGTAAATTTATTATTGAAAGAATGTAAAACAATATATAGTATGAACGCATTTTTCTAGAATTTGATCGAGAAGCTCTCTGTATCTGACACATTAGTGTGCTCGTCTCAGATTATTATGAAGCTGTCATGTGACAAACTTAATATAAACATATTAAATAACAATGTTTCTCCTTTAATATATAGGGGATGTGCTTGAATAATATAATAGTTTTTTTATGTTAAAAAAAGGAGTTTCGGGTAAAGTTTTTGTATAAAGGAGATTTAAAAATGGCTTAAACCCTTTTAGGTTTTTATTTTGGGTTTATTTGCCATATAACCAAGAAAAAAATCAAAATTAATTTTTTAGAAAGAAGTTAGAGAGAGATAGGAACAAGAAAGAGGAGAGAAGGTGAAATTTTAGCTACTTTGCAAATTTTGGTTTTTTTCATACCTACTGCACCAATTTCCTTTTTATTTTGCGTTTGAGAAAAAAATCACCGCTTCCAAAACACTGACATCAGAGAGTGTTCTGAGATCATCATAGTCAATGGCATTGGCGGGTAAGCCTTCGTTGAAGATCAAAGCAAAAGGAAATGGACCAAAACGATCGTCTTCTTCTTCGTCATCCAAGTACGAGCTCGTCAAGGATTAATTGGACCAACTGGGTCACTTAAGAAAGCCAAGGTCGCCACTCAGTATGGCTTCATCCCTCTCATCATCAATCATCATCCTCGGCATGAAATCAGATCCAAAGCCTCACCTTTTTTAGCTTCTCAGCCCCGTCTAACCTTCCAACTTGGCTAGAAATCTTCGTAATGTTTTAGTACTTTGCTTCCCAAATTTTGTTCTGTTTTCTTTTTATAATACATGAAATGGGTTCAAAGTTTTCTTCTTTGCAAATCTGCTCTCAAACAATATATGAATAAATAACATTCACTTTCAAACTGAATACACAAATGATCATTGAAGAAGATTAAAGAATTTTTTTTCTTGTGTGTGTTTTGTGGATAAAGTCTACGCTGGATCAGTTGATCGAATGTCCTGAATCATTTTCACAACTTGAGCTATATGAGGTCGTTCTTGTTGCTTTATAGAAACGCAAGCCAATCCTATCTGCAACATCTCAACCATCTCTTCCTCCACATCACCACCTGTTTCACTCAAAATCTCCATATCAAACACTTCCCCTGTCCAATCTTTCGCCACCACATTCCTTATCCAACTAGCCAAATCCATGGTCTCCCCCTCTGTAACCACTGGACTTGCAGGCGATTTCCCTGTCAGCAGCTCGAGTAAAACCACCCCGAAGCTGTATACATCCGAAGACTGCGTGCTTCTTCTAGTGTCTGTTATTTCTGGTGCGTGGTAACCTGAACTATGACAAGTCCTTTGAGAAAGAGATCTCATGATTGTTGTTAAGCCATTATCGCCAATGCAGCCGTAGCGTTGTGAATCTAAGAAGATGTTTGATGATTTGATGTTCCCATGGATCAATCTCCCGTTGTTCCCTTCGTGGATCTTAGCCAAACCTCTCGCTGCACCAGTTGCTATTCTCAGTCTTGCATCCCAATCTAAAGGTACTCGATCATACATTCCTCTGTTTCCTACACAAAAACAATAATGAACCTTTACTCGTTTTGCGTAGAGCAATTAATAAAATAAAGAGTAGCTAACCATGCAGCATCTGGAAGAGGGTTCCTTGACTGTAATAGCTATAAACAGCGAGTTTATCGTCTTTGGAATAGTAGTAAGCCTTTAGCTCAGCCACATTTTCGTGTCTGATCATTCCAATGATCTCCATCTGTTGCTCAAACTCTCTTCTTCCCACCACTACTTTCTTCAGCCGCTTCACAACGACTGCGCTCATGTCTTCCATTGTTACCTTATACGTTGTACCAAAAGAACCTTTCCCCAAAACTTGTGAAGATGAGCTTAGCAGATCATCTAAATCAAACAAATGGTTTCTTCTCCCAAAGAAGATGATCTTCCCGCCTTCTTCATCTTTTTCGTCTCTAGACGTCCAGTTCCCTGGAGGAGAAGACGATGATGATGAGTCTCTCTTCCTCAACTTCCCTGAGATTCTGTTCTTCCCGAAACAAGTGATCATCATACAGGACTCGAAGGCTGGTCAAACCTGAAAGACAGGTTGGTTACTTCTAAAGGCTTAGAGTCTTGAGAGACGACTGATGGTGAAAAGTTGGAATCACAGCGTTGAATCCAACACGGGGCAATCTAACGGATACAATTCGATCTCGGTCTTGGATGCAAGAAACTCCGATCCAGCGATGACACACCGGAGAGCTCTGGTTCCAGCGGTCAAAAGATGCACTGAAATTTGACAAGGAACTAAGCAAAGCTTTCGTGTCGTGTTCAAGAGTCTCAGAGAAGATGAGAACAAAACAGCGAATGAATGAGAAGCAGAAGACGTGCATTGTAACAAACTAGTTGACCAGTTATGTTTGTTTCTGCTTGTGTGGATAAGACAAATATATAAAATATGAAGAGAAAAGATACCGCCGGCATGTTTGAGCTGGCAAACAAATATTTGTCTTAGGAGGAATAGAGAAAAACATTAACGACGCCCATAACAATTTGTACCCGTTTCTATCCGCTTAAATTCTCATAAAGTTGTTGGATAATTTAAGGGAAAATTGCATAAAAAATCTTTAAGGTAGTAGTCACTTACACTTTAAACTCTCAGAGTATTTTAGAAACACTTTAAGCACTCAAGTTGACAAATCACTCAAGTTGACAAATTTAGTATATTAAACCTTCAATTTGGTTTACTGGTACATCAAGTCAAAAATGTGACTGGTACTATTCAAAAAAGATGATGTGTCGGTTTGTTTTTTACAAAAAAACATTATTTTACTAATAAATAAATATAAAAAATTACAGAAAATAAAAAATTTATTAAAAATAAAAAAAAAAATCAAATTTCTTTTTTAAAAAATTCAGAAAACAAAAAAAAAACAAAAAATCGTAAAAACATCATAAAAATTACACAAAATCACAAATAAAATTAAATTATTTTATTAATAAAATAAATATAAAAATAGAAATCTTAAAAATAATAAAATAAGAAAACAAATTATGAGAAATTATAAAAAATCCAAAATAAGAAAATTCACAAAAATTTAGATAAAATAAAAAACTTAAATTAAATAAATATAATAATAGATAAAATAAATGAAATTCAAGAATATATATTTTATACAGAAAATGAGAAAACACTGTATTTTATTAGAAAATTAATTATCTTCAAAGAAAAGCAAAAAAAATAAAGTCCAAGTATTTTAGCACCTAGACTTTCACCTGCATGTGTATATTTTAAAAGATTATGTTGCTATTTATTTTTCATGTCACTATTATATATCATATATATATGTCATCGTATAATTAATCGTATTCGATATGTACCATCAAATGATTCTCGTGAACCAAATCAAAGCAAACAAGTTAATGTCCAAGTCTTTTAGCATTTATTAATATATCCTATATTAATCTAGTTATAAAATCTAGGAAACCCCAACCAATAAACACTAAAATACAGTGTTTTTCATTTTGTTTATAAAAAAATATTTTTATCTTGAATTTATATTTATTTTATATACTGTAATTATATTTATATTATTTATTTTAAAGTTTTTAATTTTACTTAAATTTTTATGAATTTTATTATTTTGGGACTTTTTATAATTTCTTTTAAGTTTTTTTTTTCAAAAACTATTTTCTGTATTTTATATTTATTTTATTAATAAAATAATTTAGTTACATTTGTGATTTTTTGTATTTTTCTGATTTTTTGCGAATTGTTTTTGAATTTTTAATGAATTTTTCTATTTTTTGTAATTTTATATTTATTTATTCGTAAAATATTTTTTTTTTTAAAAACAAACCGACACGTCATCTTTTTTGAACGGTACCGGTTACATTTTTGATTTGATGTACAAATAAGCCAGATTGAAAGTTTAATATGCTAAATTTGTCAACTTGAGTACTTAAAGTGCTTCTAAAATACTCTGAGAGTTTAAAGTGTAAATGACTGCCATCTTAAATGTTTTTTATGCGATTTTCCCGATAATTTAATTCTCACTTGAAGCGTTTTTTGCTCCAAGCTTCCAACGTTTTATTTTTATCGGGATTAGCAACCTTCAAATATAATTTGAAAATGATATACTGTTGTTTACCATTTTCAAGAATATTATTAGTTTTTGTTAGCATATACTTTGCACGTATATCAGTCAAAGATATTGAAAAATAATAGTTTGAATACAATATATGCTTTTAAATTCTTTATATATATAGCACAAATACCAGCTGTTTTTTAAAATGAAGATATTTACATACATTAATCATAAGTAGTGGTTGGTTTATGTTGGACGAAGAGTTCAGTGGGTTGGAAGGCATCTCATTACAAACGGATATGAATTAATACTTTATTTCTTTAAAATTTTATGTTAGCAAATCTAAAGATAATTCCATCTAAATCAACAATTATGAATAATGAATTATTATAAGTCTTTGTCTTATTTAGTTGAACGTGTAACATGTAATTATCAAGTAGCCCACGAAATACCTATCAAAATAATAACGTGTAATAAATTATATAGTTAAATTATTTTGTTAATGCTAAGTATAATTAAATAATTATAACTATTATTTAAGGGTAATAATGATATTAACTGTTTTAATTTTTGATTTGGAAACTTCGTTACAAAAAATATATTCGTAAATAATAGTATAGACTAGATGTGTCATTAAAATAAGTTAATAATCATACGTTCAAAAATTTTAACAATTTTTATGGAAAATTTTTAGTATAATAAATTTATCTTTTAATGCATGAATCAAGATTAAAAAAACACTCATCTTATCTGTTAAAATAGAAGTTACAAGTTATTTTCATGTGTATTTTTTTTTAAAATGGATCATTTTTTAAAAAAAAAAATCATATTTCATTTATTTTCTAATAACATTTTGACATCATTATCATATCACCTTATATATTTGTATAGAACATAACAACTTTCACCTAAAAGAAAGGTTTGGTTTCAGAAATGTTTTGTCATCATTAATGAATTACCAATCTCTTATATATTAATTAAGAAACATTTGAAAGTTGTAATCTTAAGTTTGTATTAATAAAAAAACAACTACATCTTACGTGGCACCTCTCTATGGCTTCTATTTTAATTTAGAAGAATTCTAAAGCATTTTATATAAAGCATAGTTATAAAATAAGGTCCGTTGTTCTCATATAAGACATATCAAACTAAATAACATATAAACTGAATTTTCTATATATTATTTCCTTAAATAGAACTTACGGAATTACCTAATGTGATTAAGATATATATATATATATATGACTATTAATGATTTTAAAAAATAAAGATTTGTTAACAATATGTATACTTTATATCATTTTTGTTTAATTTTTTATTATTAAAATAAATTACACAATTACACTAATCATATAATAAAAAATAGATTTTTTTCTATATTTTGTATTTTAAAGTTTTCGAAACGAGTATAATTATTAAAAATGTTAAAAATCTCACATAAACTTTTGTGATCAAGGTCTAATTTTTTTAGTATAATAAAGATTTTAAAATTTTTGTTTGGATTAAATATTTTAGTCTTATTTGAATATTTAAAATTTTTGTTTGGATTCGGTTCGTATCTTTGCAGGTTCGGTTTAGGTTCGGATAACCTATTCAAATTATTTTAAAATAAATAAATTCATATTTACTTTAAATTTTCAAAATCTAAAATATATATATATATATAACATATAAATTTAAATAATGTATGGCAGAACACCTAAACTTAACATAAAAATAGGTTTGATTTGAAGATTCAGATGGAAAATTAATAAAATTTTGAAGTATTTTCGGTGTTTTGAGTATTGTTTAGCTACTTTAGATATTTAACTTCGACTATTTGTATATATTTTTAAATATTTTGGACAACTTCAAAATATATTATACATCTTAGATATTTTTGTATTTTAAATCTCAAAATAGCTAACATATTCAAGTGTCTATCTGATTAGGATATTTGGATACCCAAATATTTTTTTGGATCAGGTTTGGTTTGGTTCTTTATATACCAAAATGTTGAACTTGTTCGGATATTTAACAAAATTTTGTTCGGGTTCAGTACTAGTTCTTGGATCAGATTTGGTTCGATTCTTCATGTCTTGATTTTTTAAACCAGTTTGGTTTATATTGTTAAGTAGTCTCATTTGAATATTATACAATTCAGTTCTGTGTATTTTGAATTTAGTCATATTCGGTTTGGATATATTAACACATTGACCCAATTGGAATTATGTTAAATGTAGTCGGTTCTAATTTTTGTCTCAGTTATCCAATTATTTATTTGTGACTCAAAAAAACATAATTAAGTTCAGAAAACTGAAAAAAACAATTAAAACGGTTTACATTAACAAAAGCCTGATGACATGATTAAGAAGTAATTGTTGAGAATACTCAATAATAAAATAGTTAAAACTAACAATTAATAATTCTATAAAGGTAAGAACCATCAGTTAAATTAAAAAATATATTTTTATAACTTTTGAAGAAAGTTGAATTATAATCTAAATTTAAATGCAATTGTCAAATCATAAAATTTCAGTATTTGATTTTAACATACCAGTTTGGTTATTTAGACATCAATAATACATGAATAATACAATTTATAAATAATTAAAACATATGCATAATCATAACTTTGAGAAATAAAAATTAGAATTCATCCGTGTGGTTACGCGGACTAATGTCTAGTATATATGTAAAATATATACATAAGGATTAAAATAAAGATATTATGATGTAATTTTTTTTTGATAATACAGTATAAATAATTTTGTTATAATACTAATTAGTAAATTAATTTTAATTTATGGTTAATTATATATTAACAAGTCTAATGATTCATTAATGCTAATAAAAACTTTATAATATAAATTATTTTTAGATAGTGGTAGTTATCAAATTAATGATAATACATATATGGATTTATCTTTATTTTTATATTTTTTATAAAAAATAATTGTTTAAATAAATCAATATAAATTATTTCTAGGTAATGGGTAATTTTTTTTTGTTTTTTGACACCAATGGGTAATTATATATTAGAAAATTTTATTATTCATTAAGGGTATAAACAGTATTAACCACTCTAACTTTTAACGTGAGAGTTCCATTGCGAAAAATCACTTTGTAAATAATAGTATAGATATCTAAAGTTATCCTAAAATTCTAAAAAATATTCAAAACATTAAATATCTACAAAAGTCTAATTTTATGTTAATTTTAGGTATCTAATGATACGTCGTTCAAATTTATATATTGTATTATTTTTTAGTTTTAGATTGTAAACATTTTAAAGTATATTTGGATTTTGAAAATTTTACATTCACAAAAATCCTTGGTTGCACATATTCTTTGTCGGACATCTGCATTCCATTTTGGAACCAGGATCAGATTCAGAACCTTATGAAAACTTACGGAATCTCGCTTCCAAAATGCTTATAAAATATCATATTTAAAACGTGTTAGAAAGCTAGCGATTTCATTTTGGAATCACGCTTCCGTTTAGAAAACATAATGTCATAAATAAATAAAAATAGATAATGAAGTTGTTATGTTTTATGTAAAATCTGAACTTTAAAAGTATTAATATAAAGAGAATAGAAATATGAAAATATTAAACTAATATTATAAATTATCTTTATGCACTAGATATTTAATGAGATATATAGCATACATATTCAAATATATTATGTCAGTTATTTATTGAAATTTAAAAATATTTAATTGGATAATAATTCTTATAAACTTAATTTATTTATATTTTCACAATTATAATATGAAATCATTTAGAATTAGTATAAATAAAAAGTTATTTATTTTAATTTGAATCATATACTTTTTGTCATATATTTAATAATTTTAATATTTTAATATATATATATATATATAGATATATGTCGTTTTCCTAATTTTTTTAAAAAATTCGCTTTTACCCTTCCATGTACACGTTTTTGTTTCTATGTAACATAGCAAAAATCCGAACATAACTTATTAAATATTTAGCAAAAATTGGAACAGAACTTATTAAAATCTATAAATATTCTAATGGAGGCTAAGTCTTACTCTTAAAAACTCCAACCGAATAGCTCCAAACCAAATGTTTCGAACGCACATCATGAGAAAAGTTAATATATAGTATAACTTCTTTAAATTAGTACTCTATAAATTAATATATATTTAAATTTCTAAAAATAAGATAGTTTTGTAGTTTTATATTGAATTTTTAGTTTAATTGATTTAGCGATAAATTAATAATTTTTCTAAATTAATAAAAAATTACTCGATGTAGTATTAATATTATTAATTTATAGAGGTTCTATATTCTCTTTCAATTTACCGAAAAGGCCCATTCAATCTCACACAGTAATAGGGCTTTTCAACTCATCGGTGTTACTCTGTTACTTTTTTATTTTCTTCCTTTTGTAATGATATTTGAATATTAAGTATTAACTTTTAACACAAGGGTTTCCAAAAACTTTAGTTACAGAGGTTGAGGGTGTTTGTCTGCCTCCCTGACCAGATCGCCTGAGAAATCCTTAATGCAACTGAAAATGCTTCCATTTCTGAACATCTAAGCTTACTTGCGACTACCAAAACGACAATCTCCGTTCTCTCAGGTATCCAACATCTTCCACGACACATGTTTTTAGGGTTTTTTCGTTCAAAAAAATGTTGTAGGTTTTTCTTATCTTGCTTGATTTATCAGCTTCTGTTACTGCATGGTGTTTTTAGGGCTCGAAAATCAGAGACATGGGGTTCGCATTTTAGGGATTTATCCGCAAAATTTGCTTTGATTTTCTTGCATTTTAGGGATTTATCCCATCCTTGCTGTTGGTTTACAGATAGGAACCGTGATATGATTCCTTATGCATTGAAAATCAAAGATATGGATTTACTTTTGTAGGTTTTTATCCCTTAGAATTTACGTTTTCTTTTCTTTTTTTTTTTAACTTTGAATTCATTGCAGGTTTGTTGTGCTCATGGCTGAAACAGAGGTTTCAGTTTACTGTTACTGGAATGGTTGCATCAAGTATGGCCCTGAAGGTGTGTACTATGAAGGATCCACTCCTAAAAAGATTATAGTGCACCCAAAGATTGCATTAAACCGTTTGTTGGCTGAGATGTATGTGCTTGCTGGAGTAGATGTTGATAAGCAGAGATCCAAAATTTAAATATTTGGTAGGTATCCTTCTGTTGTTGGACAGTCGAAGTTTCAGTATGTTCTTCTTCATGTGGTGAACAACCATAGTTTGGAGACAATGCTTGAGCTTCCAAGCAAACACCCTTCTATTCAAAATGTCGAATTGTATTTGAAAGTGAAATCTGATGGAGTTATTGGTCCTGCTGCTTGTTCCTCGAAACGACAGAGGACTGGTATAGCAGCTGTTAAGTTAGAGAGGGAAAACAGTAACATCTTGATTGAAGGCGAAGCAGATGCTGTGGCACAGGTGACAGGAGGAGATAACAGCAACCCTCATAAGGATTTGAATAAAGAGTCCAGTTCTGGTGTTTTGAAACCTTGTCTGTCTAGTTCGTGGCTTGAAGATCAGGACTTGCGTGTAGGATTGTGCTTCGAAGATGCTGATGAACTGAAGAAGGCTGTGGATTGGTGTTCCATTAAAGGAATGCAAAAGTGTGTGGTACAAGAGAGTGGGACTGACGAGTGTATGTTTAAATGCGTCAGGTGGAAATGCAAGTGGTCACTTGGGGCTACTAAAATGGAAAAGCACGGTCTTTTCGAGATAGTCAAGTATACTGGTCCACATACTTGTCGTCCCATTGAGCCAGAAGAGTCGGATTCAGAGTTTGAAGCAGATGAGATTGAACGTGTGGTTAGGGTACATCCCGCACAATCATTTGCACAGTTGAAGAAGTGGTGGAAAGCAAAAGTTGGATATAAGCTTGAAACTTGGGAGGTGGGGGCTGGGAAAGAGGAAGCTATTAAACGAGTGTTTAAAGATTGGGATCAAAGTTTTGAAGATTTGCCCAAGTTAATGGCTGCCTTTCAATCATCTAATGGACTACTCTTAGATTGGAAATACGATCTTTTTCCTAATCCTAAGTTTGCATCCTTCTGTGGAGTGTTTTGGGCATTTCCACAGTCCATCCAAGGGTTTCAACACTGTAGACCTTTTATCGTAGTGGACACCAAAGAGCTGAAAGGTAAGTACCAGTTAAAATTGATGATTGCCTCAGGGGTAGATGCAGCCAACAATTATTTCCCTCTTGCCTTTGCGGTGACCAAGGAAGTGTCGTCAGATAGTTGGAGTTGGTTTCTCACTAATATCAGAGAGAAGGTCACACAAAGGAAAGGCCTCTGCCTCATCTCTAGTCCCCACCCAGACATACTCTCTGTTATTAACAAACCTGGATCTCAGTGGAAAGAACCCTGGGCTTATCACAGATTCTGTCTGAAACAGTTCTCGTCCCAATTCTGTCGCGATTTTCCAGGCCTTGAGAGTCTCTTGAAGCAAGCTGGATCCACAAGTCAGAAGGATGAATTTGAAAACCACATAGAGACCATTAAAAAACAGCAGCTAGAAGCTTGGAGAAAGTTAGATCAAATCCCTCAAAATCAGTGGGCTCTGGTTCATGACAGTGGTCGGAGATACGGACTCATGGAGATAGATACTGAAGCTCTTTTTCCATTTTGTAGAGTCTTTGAGCTGGCCGACCATGTACTGACATGTTCTGTTTTGCTTCTGTTTGATATACTGAGAGTCTGGTTTGACCAATGTTCTCTTTTTAGCCGTGCATCTCTTACTTGCGGCGATGTGTACACCAAACCTGTTACGGATAAGCTTGAAGAGTTCAGGAAAGCTTCTGTTACTTACGTTATAGTGCCGTTAGACAATAACGCGTTTCAGGTCACAGCACCATTACAAAATGAAGAATGGATCGTTCAGCTGAATGACTCAATTTGCACATGTGGGGATTTTCAAAGAAAAAAGTTCCCATGTCTACATGCTCTGGCTGTCTGCAAGAAGCTGAAAATCAATCCTTTGCAGTATGTAGACAACTTTTACAGTTTTGAACGGTATTACAAAACTTATGATGCCACTTTTTCTCCTGTTCCGGAGTTATCAGCCTGGACTGAAGCCTCTGGAGTTCCGAGATTATTTCCTCCGGTCATTCCGCCACCACCACCGCCTCGAAGTTACGTAGCATGTAAGGCACAACGCAAAACAACTCCTGAGACTACTAACAAGAAGAGCTGAGAAAGGTAGATTTTAAAACGAAGCGGGCATTTTGGTATGGTTATTATGTATGTATTGACTTTCAGAAGTTTGGGTTGATCAGTGTAGATGCTCTGACGGAAACAAGAACGTGTGTTGATTTTTTTTTTTTGGGTATGTGATAAATTGATAATTAATCCGGTTCGTATGAGAACTTTTGTCGATCCCCTGAACCGATACAAAAAGCGACGCTAAACCGGATTGGAAATTGAGACTTCCACTTTCATCTTCTTCACCATCCCATTCCCAATCGTTTTTTTTCTCTTGCTATCTCGCTTCCACGGTAATATACATGTAAGATGTGTATGTCAAATTATGGGTAAGCTTGAGAAAGTGAGAAAACAAATTTCCTTAACGTTGAATTCAAACAACGAAAACGACATCGTTTGACACTAAAGCAAAATGATCGTTTGACACTAACGAAGCGACGTCGTTTGAAGCATTTTGAGATCTCATCGTCTACCAAATACAAGAAGATCACAGTGATTGGTAGAGTCGCTTTTGTTGTTTGCCCCTTGGTTCCATCGACGAGTCCGTCACTTTCACTCTATAAAAAAATATCTCCTCTCCATCAATCTCTCTCTCTCATCACTCCCAACCAATCCACTCTCTCTACCCTCTCTTCTCCAATGGAATCCGCCGCTCTCTCCCGAATCGGCCTCGCCGGACTCGCCGTAATGGGCCAGAACCTCGCCCTAAACATCGCCGAGAAAGGCTTCCCAATCTCCGTCTACAACCGCACCACATCCAAAGTCGACGAAACTCTAGACCGCGCCGCCGTCGAAGGAAACCTCCCCGTCTCCGGCCAATACACCCCGCGAGACTTCGTCCTCTCCCTCCAACGCCCCCGCTCCCTCATCATCCTCGTCAAAGCCGGATCCCCCGTCGACCAGACCATCGCCGCCTTCTCCGAGTACATGGAGCCCGGGGACTGCATCATCGACGGCGGCAACGAGTGGTACCAGAACACGGAGCGACGGATCTCCGAGGCCGAGGAGAAAGGATTGCTTTATTTAGGTATGGGAGTCTCTGGAGGCGAGGAAGGTGCTCGTAACGGCCCTTCGCTTATGCCTGGTGGATCTTTAAAAGCGTATGAAAATATTAAAGATATTTTGGGGAAAGTTGCTGCGCAAGTTGAGGATGGACCTTGTGTTACTTATATAGGTGAAGGCGGATCTGGGAACTTTGTTAAGATGGTTCATAATGGGATTGAGTATGGAGATATGCAGTTGATATCTGAGGCTTATGATGTGTTGAAGAATGTTGGAGGTTTGAGCAATGATGAGCTTGCCGAGATTTTTGCTGAGTGGAATAAAGGTGAGTTGGAGAGTTTCTTGGTGGAGATTACTTCGGATATTTTTAGGGTTAAGGATGAGTTTGGTGATGGTGAGTTGGTTGATAAGATTTTAGATAAGACTGGTATGAAAGGTACTGGGAAATGGACTGTTCAGCAGGCAGCGGAGCTCTCAGTGGCTGCGCCGACGATCGCTGCTTCGTTGGATTGTAGGTATCTGAGTGGTTTGAAAGATGAGAGGGAGAATGCTGCTAGAGTGTTGGAGGAGGCTGGGTTGAAGGAAGAGATTGGTTCTGCGTCTAGCGGGGTTGATAAGAAGAGGTTGGTTGATGATGTTAGGCAAGCTCTTTATGCTTCGAAGATATGTAGTTATGCTCAGGGGATGAATCTGCTTAGAGCTAAGAGTGTGGAGAAGAGCTGGGGGTTGAATTTTGGTGAGTTGGCTAGGATTTGGAAAGGTGGGTGTATTATAAGAGCAGTGTTTTTGGATAGGATCAAGAAGGCTTACCAGAGGAACCCGGATTTGGCGAGCCTTGTGGTTGATCCTGAGTTTGCTAAGGAGATGGTTCAGAGACAAGCTGCTTGGAGGAGAGTGGTGGGTTTGGCTGTTTCTGCTGGGATTAGCACCCCTGGGATGTGTGCGAGTCTTGCGTATTTTGATACGTATAGGCGTGCCAGATTACCTGCGAATCTGGTGCAGGCGCAGAGAGATCTCTTTGGAGCTCATACTTACGAGAGGATTGACCGTTCTGGTGCGTACCACACGGAGTGGACTAAGCTTGCTAGGAAGAGCAATTGAGGTTTTCGTTTTCGTACACGCTTATTGGGTTTTTTTTAACCAAAATTGTTTCAAGAGCATTTTGTTCAGATTTCCAAAATAAGAAATGCACTACATTGGTTCTTGTTTTATTCTAGTATTTGTCTGGCTAATAACCGAACAATGTAAACTCATGAATTGATGAAAGACCTAAGAAGGTTCATAGAGGCCGAGCACATGACCATCCAGACATCTCACAGATGCAACCTGGTTTATCAGAAAGTAAAATAAAAAACGTTAAAAATGAATATGAGACTTGAGCATTTGCAGGAAATGGAGAGAAAGAAGATGGTTTACCTTGCCATGGACTTCGTATTTGATAGAGCCATCGAGTTCAGCTCCTAATTCCATAAGTTTAGAGATTGATGTATTAATGTCTGCCACAGTAAACGATAGTAACGAAGAGTATCCCTTCTCATTCACCACATGGTCGCTGCATCAAAACATTGTCATCTTCTTTTTATCTTTTCAATGAACGAACAAAACAAAATCTTCATCAGACGGACAGCTAACTGAAGGCAACTAAATTAGATAAAACTACTACTCTCGGAGACAATTGATCGAACAGGTTATCTGCATTGGTTGATATGTGAATTAAATACCTGGGAGATTGCATAAGAGCTAGCTTCAAAGGACCCGACTGAAGCTCAGCCCAACGTAAAGTTACGACATTGACTGAGAAATCGAGACCTTTCTCGTAGAATCGAGCAGCTTTCGGTACATCTTTGTGTAGCTGCAAAATCCACCTGAACGACGCCGTCGCCATCTCTTACTCTCTCTCTCCAGTCACGTATAACAACGGTAATAAACCCACGAACCAACTTAAAACGACGCCGTTTCGATCTCTGCTATGCAACGACCAAGAAACCGAATTTCAAAGACGATGAATACGATTTTACAAAAATATACATTATACATAGATAGTTACAAACAATTTACAGACTGAACATATCCACTCATGAAATGTAAACCATCAAACTTGTGTCTACTTCCCTACAAAATCTCTTAGTTCGTTCCATCTCCGGCCGACAATGTACTCTCCCCATACAGAATCTTAGCCCTTGAACAGCCGAATCCTGGGCCGAGAAGTCTTGGTTCTCGCTTCGCTTAGTTTAGCTTTCAAAGTGTTGTCCTTTACTCCTTGTGCTGTTAGATCAGATGTCATGGCTCTCGGATTCCAATGCCGAATCGGACTCTCTGCTCTCCTACTTGGTTGGTAACTGCAAGAACCCTCATCGATTCCTTGAGTTTCCGACAGTAACCTCCGATGTGTTCTAATCATTTCTCCAACCACATTGTTCTTCTCTTTCTCACTCTTCTTCTCATTACGAGACATGGCCCACGCCATTTGATCCTCGAACTTCACCTGTAAGCTCGACGGGCTTTGACTCCGTCTCCTCATCGGTTTTTCACTAGACATAACATCTAGTTTCTCAGTTCCATCTCCGAGTTGTGTCTTTGCAACATCTTTCTTGAGCTCAAAACAATTCGAATCTTCTTCCTCCTCACTGTCCACTTCCTGAATCGGTGCGCTCATGGCGTTAAATGGAGCAGACTCAAGTGAACTCCTACGATTCTTCCGTATCTCATCACCACTCAACTTCTGCTTACTCTCGAGAAACGCTTCTATCTCAAGCTCTAGCTTCTCCAACACGGATCCTTCTTCACCGCTCTGAATCCTCTCATCAAGCCATGTCTCCGCAATACAAAGAACCATCTGATCTTCCTCACCCCAACCTTCCCAACTCTTATCCAACTTCTGCTTCAAACCATGAACCTCCCTCTCGTAACTCTTGATCCCTCTCGCAAACTCGTCACATAATCTCTCCAGCATCTTCTTGTCCTTACTCCCTCTCTCTATCTCGTCCACGCAGCTAGACAACGTAGACTTCACTTCAGATAGCTCCCGTGCAAGTTTTCTATGCAAACTCTCGGACCGTCTCCTTAGCTTCCTCTCCTCTTCCAGTGACTGAACCGCAGAGGTTAACCTGTCGCGTTCCTTTGTTTCCTTTGACAGCTTTTCTTCCGCGAGCTGCTTCACTAAATCATCCATCTCGTGTCTATCTGCTTGCTGGCATCTGAGAAGCTCTTTGATACGGGCACGTGAATGAGCAAGCTCGCTTTTTAGAGACTTTATTAAAGAGATGTTAGCGGAATGCTGCTCCTCGAGGGTCCAGATTCGGTTCAGTACTTTAAGAAGTTCGGTTGATGTCTTGAGATTGTAGTTAGCCTCACCAGCTCCTCTTCTTCTTCTTCCACGGAGCTCCAGTGAGCTTCCCGGAGTTATTGCTCCATTATATGAAGCCACCTGCAGAATGATCCATCTCAATACTATTCTTAAAAGTTAATAAGCTTGGGACTTAAAATGTGAATACCTCGAGGGAGCTTGCAGGAGATAAGGGCTGCAAGGCATCATGGTCGTTTCTTTGGGTTAATTGGTGATGCTTCATTAGCATTTGACCAATCTGTTTCCTTATACTACCTGCACTCTCTGGCTGGGATAAAACAAGAGGCAAGAGAACAAAAATCAGATGACGGGATATTCTACTGTACTCGAAATGAAAGCTGGAGCAAAAGGAAGGCATCTTCAAGTAAACTAGTAAGAAAAAAAGTACTTGATCGCAGGTGAACTAAATATCACATTTTTAGAAAGAATCATCTCCTCTAAGAAACCAAATATAGTAATAATTAGTAAATAACAAAAAAACAGATGAGCTCAGAGTAAATGGCAATGGGTAATCTGAACCTTTCAATCACTGATGCACAAAATTTAGTTCAATCCACTAAATTTAACTAGCAAAACTCTAAACCAAGAACTTAGGCAAACCTAGAACACTTGTCACCAATATGAAAAAATCTTAATTTGATAAAAACCCATAGCCGGAGTGAGCACAATCTTGGTTAGATTTACTATTTCATCACACAACACATGTCAGAAAACTCAAACTTTTACAGTTAAACCAAGTGACCAAACAACGCATTGTCACTATAAATCCAGACTTGAGCGATAACCAAACCTAAAACCAATCAGTTTCATAAGATATTAATCACCTAAAAGCCACTAACTAATCACCAAATAATCCTATTTTCCCAAAATTCCAGAGAAAGGGTAGAAATACTAAACCCTAGAAAGAGAAGGAGAGACCTGGTCATCAGTGAGATCAAGACCACCATTATCTCTAATCACCGCCTTTCCATGGCCGTGACGGAGACGGCGGTTACTAGGATCACCACCAGAAGAGTACGGAGGTCGGTGCATTTTAGCTAGAGGAGGAATCTGGTGGTCTAGGTCGTGATACTGATAAAATTCCCAGAGAGAGGCTGCAAGCTTTCTGGAGGAAGAAGAAGGGTTAGTATTAGGGTTAAAGGTAATGCGCGTTGGAGTGGAAGGTGGGCGAGAAACACTTCTATGGCCTACAGAAACGGCTCTTCTCCTTAACTTTTCAATAAAGTTCTTCCCTTTTTGCCCTTCTTCTCCTCCTCCATCTTCTTCCTCTTCCTCTTCTTTACTTTTCATTTCTTTAGAGCGGAAATAAAGATTCTTACCTTTTTTATTAATCGAGTGATCTGAAAACCCCTTTGTCTCCGTGCATCGTTATCATGGAAACCAAACTCTTGTTTCTCATGTCTTTTTTTTTTACTTTGTTCTTCAATTTTGACTCTTTGAAGTGTTTTTGTTTTGTTCCGTTTAATTGGCTTGACAAAGGAATAAAATTGTTAGACTAGTGTGTCACTTCCTTAGACCATTCATTAGCTTCGTAATCATCCGAATTTTTGTTTATCAATTTATTCGATATTATTTTTTTATTTTATTTATGAAGCAGACCAAAAGAACGCAGAAGAGTGTGCGTGTCACAGACTGGCCATGTACTGGCATCATGTTAACTTTCGTTATTTAGCTTGTGTGTTTACTAACGCTGCGAATTCGGTTTTCCAAAACCGAACCGAACCGATTTTTCGGTTTTCGATGAACCAGACATCGGAAAAAAATTCCGTAAATAACCGATTAATTTATCGGTTCGGTTTGGAAATCGGTTAATTTCAGAATTAACATTTTGTCGAAAATAACCGATTTCATCGGAAAATATTTGAAATCGGATTTATTTCAGTTTATTTCGGATAATTTCGGTTTGTACGGATTATTTTTTAATTCGAATCTTCGGTTAGTTTCGGTTAATTTCGTTTAACTACCAAAATCAAACACACAAGAAATTAATACACAATACATTCAGTCTATTGTTTAAAACTGCAAACGTCAAACCAAATACATCCATCTCGATTACATTCCTTTCCATAAAACATTTTGAATCTAAATCTCTTTGCAATAACCACAAATTCAAAAGGGCAAAGAGTTATAGATTCAAATGGTAGTTTAACCAAAAAAAAAAAGAGAAAGGAAGTAAGGAACCAACAATCCGAAATCCAAAAACAGAGTGAAAACCAAAAAGAACAAGCCATCAACACTTCACTCTCACACTCTAACCTGCAAGTGCAAGTTATTAAGGTAAAAATCACTTCAGAAAATACAATTCCAAAATAAACAAGGAAAGAAAAGAACTCTAAAGATTAAAGAAGATGATATTACATTACTACCTCTAAATTTCAGGTTGGCTTGGTAGTTCCATAGTCTCTACACATGACAAATACAATTAGCACAAAATACATCAAAAATATTTAAAAAAAAGAAGTGAAATATTTACCTAAAGACTCATGAAAATCCAATTCTTCAAACATTTGAACCAAACTTGCAAGTTTCTCGGTTTGGATATTATTTCGAAGCCATTGCTGTGTGCAAACGAGTGCTTCGATCATGTATGGAGTTAGACAGCTTCGGTAAGGATCTAAAATCCTACCACTAGTACTAAATGCTGACTCTGAAGCAACAGAAGAAACATGGACAGCTACAACATCCTTCACCAACTCTGATAGGACTGGATACTTAGTAGAATTACGCCTCCACCATGACAAGACATCAAATTCTCTTCCCATCCTGTCTGAGGTTCGTCACATTGGTCTTTCCATCAAGTAAATATCAAGCTCGCTACTGCCTTCATCATTTGCAACCTCGGATTCCATCTCTGAGTACAAAGAATCTCTCCCCTCATACTCTTCATCATCATCAGAGATGTCAAACATGTTACCAATCTCATTATCCACATTCTCAATACTAGTGTTACCAACATTATCTCCTTGAGATTGTGGGCGCATCTTCACAGCATATTCATCATACAAATCTTTCATCAATGTCCTAATCGAGGTTCTAAGATGGGTACTCTCTACACTGTCCTTACCGTAGAGCTTGTCGAAACAAATGCTAGCAAACTGCATCTTGTTTCTTGGATCAAACACGCTTCCAATGATGATAAGCGGATTCATGTTGTAAAGACCATCCCAATATTTCTCAAACATGTTCCTCATCTCCCTTGCTTGAATCTGTAGAACTCCATCTCTGTTGTTGCTTAAACCGATGAGCTTCCTCTCAATGACAACAATCTCATTGTAACACATAGTTGAAGTCACTGTCTTGGATGCTGAAAACGCCAACGTACACCCAAAAAAGATCTTAAGGAACTTCACTAACCTCTGCACTTCATCCCACCCTTGAGAAGTTGGAGGTCCAACCCTCTTATGTCCATTCTCTTCTGATTCGTTGAAGTAATCATTGTACAACACATCTTCAGCTAAAAGCTTCTCAAAAGCAACCCTAAACTTCAAGGCAGCAGACATCATCAAATATGTAGAATTCCACCTTGTAGTACAGCCCAAAGTCAAGTTTCCTCTACTAACTTTTCCTGTGAGGACCCTCAACTCAAAAGATTGTAGCTGTGGACCAGACGATCTCACATACTTGACTGCGTTCCTAATAGCCACCACGCTCTCTTTTACCTCAGCTAAACCATCCTTCACAATCAAATTTAATATGTGGGCACAACAACGCATATGCAACAACACCACATTCTTAACTAAAGCATATGTTCCTAGTTGCCTACAAGCTTCTATAAACAATCGTAGTGCCTTATCATTCCCCTTGGCGTTGTCAACAGTCACAGTGAACACCTTCACAATTCCCCAATCCTCAAGACACTGATTAAGATGTTCAGCAATCGTTTCTCCTTTGTGATCAGTCACTGGTTTGAAGCTTATGATCCTCTTCTGCATATCCCAGTTTCTGTCAGTCCAATGAGCCGTCACAACCATGTAGCTGCAAGAGGTTGTAGGAGCAACCCATATATCGGTGGTTAGAGAGACTCTCTTATTCTCAGAACTAAATAGGTGCTTCAACGTTTCTTTCTCCCTCAAGAACATTTTAAATCTATCTTCTGTTGCTGTCCTCCTACAATGTACTTAAATAGGCAACACATTCCTGCAGAAATGCCTAAATCCTTCGGATTCCACAAAAGCAAACGGGAACTCATTCAACACAATCATCTCATTCACAGATCTCCTAAACAAGGTAGCATCATGCTTCACCGCAGTCACTACACCACTACTATCACCACCAAGAGTAGTCTGTTTCCCACTAGACATATAGAGTTCATGCAACTTACATCGAGCTATATGATTGTTCATGGTGCTGGTTCCACTCTTTTTAGAGTCACATCCTATGTCTTGACCGTAATATCGACAATTGGCTAAGCTCGGGTCATCTTCCCTCTGAATAAAATGCTGCCATACTTCTGCTCTATAAACTTGTTTCTTCTTCGTAGGCGGAGGAAGGTCAGTACTTGATCTTTGTGAAGCCGGCCTTTTCCTTCCATCACCTTGATTTGCTCCTTCTCCTCCAAGTAAATCATCGTTGTCTTTAATGTTATCTTCACAAGCTGACATCTAAAACATGAACAAAAAAATTTTAGTTAGTGATACACACAAGCTGACATCTAAACATGAACAAAAAACTCCATTTCAATTAAGTAAAATCGAATTCAAATAGATATGAAATCCCATTGGACCCAAATCATAAACCTCATTTCAATTGAAAATCGAAACCTTAATCTACAAAATAGATATGAAACCGAAACCCTAATCTAAAAAATCGAACCACAAAATCATCAGAATAGAGTAATAGAAGTTGAAATCGACTAATCATAAGCCATAAAACAAAAAACTAATCAATTTTGACCTAACCCTAAATCGCTAAATCCCAAAATTGACACAAAACCGTTAATCCCAAACCAAGATAGAACAATAGAACATAAACGTATAGAGGAGGAAGAAGAAGAAGAAGATACCCTGAAGAAGAATCGATGGGATTGGAGACACAAGATATTAAGTTAGAGAGAGTTATGTTTTGTTTTAGATTTAGGTTAGCCGACAATTAAACTTCTGAGGAGGGTTATATACTTAGGTTAAGTTAATATCGGATTTCCGTTCGGTTACTCTGGACCGAATCAAACCGAGACGATAACCGATTGATTTTAAAAACTATGCCGAACGGTTTCCTCACCGTAACCGAACAGAAACCGAAATCTTAAAAGGTCGGTTCGGTTCGGTTCGGAATTGCAGCGCTAGTGTTTACTATTGAATCCCCAAAAAAATATTTATCCTTGTACGTACAATCAAAATTACTGTTGCTGCTTCTCCTTGTGACAGTTAATGGTTTTAAAAACATTTAGAATTTCTCTAATCGTATGGGATGTTTCAGTTTTCATAGTCATCGAACAAAAGGAGCTAAGCGTACAACCTAAATAGTAGAAATGGAAAGCACATGTAAGAGTTTTGAGTATTTTACAAACTTGTCTGCTACCTGGTAACACTTCCGGCCAACCTTATTGAATTCTACCGTGGAGAATAGATCCCTCTAAACATATTTATCACTTGTGTTTAGTGATAGTAGTAGTACGCAGAAACTACAGTGATAACCATATCTGGTAGTCTATTTTCTTGTATCATATGATAATGATATTAATAATTTTTCTGGGAATTTTTTACTTTAAGCTTAGTTTTATACTAACAAGTAACAACCTTGACTTTGTCTACTCCAGATTAATGATGAGACTTTATTTTTATCATTGATCTATTCTTATTTTTTGAAAATGTTGTGGTTTTCATTGAATTAATCTTTGATAGTGATAACCTAAAAATTCAATTCGGCTATTGAATAATTGTTAAACAGTGGATCCCATGAATCACATTAGTACATTACTCAATTAGAATATTCCGGCTTTGACGGGACCTAATCAGTAACTCGACAATATGAAAATAATTCTTGAATTAATTTCTGTTGGAAAGTTTTTAAAATCTTGTTTTTCTCTGCTTTTTTTACGACGTTTTCTCTGTTCAAATAGAAAAAAAGGGAAAATTGTCAAAAATGGATAAAATAGCTATACTATTGTCCTCTTAGAATAAAACCATGGCATGTTTGGACATTCATTACCTTTTTGTCTTTAGAAATTCATATTTATTTTCTTATAAGGTAAAAAATTATGGAAAATAGTAAATTTGATGTAGATAAGCACGTTCATATAAGAAAATTATCTTTGTTTAAAAAAATGTTTAAATTGTAAATTCAAGAATGGA